ATTATCGTAGAATAACTAATATAGTCTTGTGGGTGTTACGAGGCTACAGAGCGAAAAAACTCAGGATATAACCAGCAGCGTCTTCCTAATAACAATTAAAAAAATAAAAAACTGCAATTACCAATCTGCTTGCAAATCGTAGCTAGCGCAGAGGCCTATATTCAGCAGTGGACTTGTGAAAGGTTGAAACGGTAAAAGTAAACTCTTAATCAGAATTAGTTATCATAGTTGCCTTTTTAAATAAATATTTAACAATAAATATCGCACGCCTCATAATTCGAAGCGTTATTAGGTAGTGTATTACTCTCGACACGTCAAGGTCAAGCAATTCTGTACTTCTATTATAACAATATAGCACTTATACAATAATGTGAGTAGCCGTATATCAAGAACACACTCCAATTAATCCATTTTATATTTTCTAAAATATCATTTATTATTGCTAAAAAAACGTTTTGAAACAAAATTTTACGTAGACTTCTGAATGTTGATTTTGTATGTGGTCACGATAACCCCCGAAAAATAGACGTATAGAGACTGGGTTATTTTAATTAGCTTCAGAATTACATCAACTGGTTACCTATTTCATATCAATAGCCTAGTACGAGTAGTTTGTTAACAAAATAATTTTCAAGCTTTATTGCTATTAAAAATTTAAAGGCGTTTTCATGCTTTTTAGCCCTTGAAAGACAAAGACATATGTACCATACAACCTTTATCGATTTTATACTTTGTGTAATCGATTTATTTTGGTGAACATTATTAATTATTTTTTCTCTGTAGGTGTCACTACCTGTTAAAATAATAGAGCGATAAATTTAAAACACGTAAATAATATATTTTAAAAGTCAGGAATATAATTTTATTCAAAATAAAATGGAACACTCATGAGGCGTGCATGAGGCTTCTCTTCGATGTAATTTTAAATCAAATAAAAAAAAAATTGAAAGCATATCGCAACGAATATTAAAAATAATAAAACGTATTACGTCACACAAATTCTTATTTATAGCGCATGATAAAAGCTATGACATAACAGATAACATAAAAAAGTTTTACGAGATATGTGAGTAGTTAAAAGGCCCAGATAGCGCGTGCAAATTCATTCGCAAACATTCCCGCTTGAAATTACATTGGCAAAATAGATTTTTCCATCGGAAACGTAGATCTCAGAGATTTGTGCTCAAAGCTGAATTCATTGAGACTCAATGGAAAGGCGCGCTTAGCCTATTCACAAGTAAGTCTTCAGCAATCTGGTTAAAGTCAATCTTACCAGTCTAGAGCACAGGCGCAAAAAAAACAAACTTTCATAGTTCTACAGAATCAATTGCACCCTCTCAAATTACATGTAATTCCTTTTCTCCCTTCCACTAACGGACAACTTGAAACTCTACTATTTAAAAAAAATAGCTATTTTTTAAAACTATATTTATATGAAAAATATATTAACAACACTATTTATATCACAAAAACACTAATTAAATGTTTAGTAATGTTTGACATTGTATTTCTTAACTTTGTTACTTAACTTGCTTACTAATCCGTTGGGCTATGTCGGTTACTCTGGTTCTACTGCGGATATACTCGTTTTTAAGTCTATCACGCAGAGAAATTCCGAACATAGTCCTCTCCATAGCTAGCTGAGCAACCTTGAGCTTCCTCATACGGCCAGCAGTGAAGGACCACGTCTCAGATCTATAGGTCATCACTGGCAACACGCACCGGTTGAACAATTTTGTTTTGAAGTTTAGAGGAATGTCGGATGAGAACATGTGTACTAATCTCCCGAACGCTGCCCAGCCGAGTTGAATCCGTCGATTGACCTCTCGGTCGAGTTTGGATTTACCCAGTCGGACTATTTGTCCCAGGTAAACATACTCGTCAACAACTTTGAGCTTAGTGCTCCCAACAACTACCGGCATAGGAGTGATATGGACGAAGAACCGACAACCGATAGGGAAGAAAGGTTCTCGAGTGGCAGCCTCGTACCGGCAGGCGAAGTTTAGAGCATCCTACTAGATGGAGTGAAGACCTCGTAAGACATCCAGGAAGTCAATGGATGCAGGTCGCTCGGGACCCTGCTTTGTGGCATTCCTTGGGGGAGGTCTATGTTCAGCAGTGGACTTGTGATAGGCTGTATTGATGATAATGATGATTACATACTAGCTATTGATTTCTATACGATATTATGATACGGTATTAACACCAATGTTTATTATAATAGTTATAATAGTTTATCACTCACCTTCGATTTGCCGACGATATAGTCCTTATGGCAGAATCGCTGGAGAACTTAAGCACTATGCTCAATGACCTCAATAGTGCCTCCCAACAGATAGTTCTTAAGATGAACATGAACAAAACGATATCCATGTCACACCTATGCCGGTAGTTTTTGGTAGCACTAAGCTCAAAGTTGTAGACGAGTATGTTTACCTGGGACAAATAGTCCGACTAAGTAAGTCCAACTTCGACCGAGAGGTTAACACAGAGATTCAATTCAGCTGAGTTCGGGAGATCACGACGTATCTTCTCGTCAGATATACCCCAAAACTTGAAAACAAGGTTGTACAACCAGTGCGTGTTGCCAGGAATGACTTATGGATCTGATTATGATCTGAGACGTGGTCGTACACTGCTAGCCGCATGAAGAAGCTCAAGGTCACTTAGCGAGCTATGGAGCCACATCACTCACTTACCATCAAGTTGACTGTGTGCTCGTTTGTTACCCTTAAAAAAATCTAAACTCATATCATATAAATTTCAACATTATTTAGAAAATATAGGCATGTAAATTTACAGTAATATTTAAAACTATCAGTTTATTTTCCTGAATATTCGATTCAAATGTCGTGGCAATCAACATATTTACACAGAACAAATCTCCGACAGGAATTACTTGCCAACAATAACCGACAATTTAGAATATTTTCAGTACATTTCAGTATCTAGCGACGGTGTTCGTAGAAATTTTTATGACACTACTAGAATTAGTAGACACAAATTACATCCACGCGAAAATTTTGGAGCTTAATATAAATAGAACAGAACAGAATAGAAAAATTTATTCAATATAGATTACATGAAAATCTTAATAAGTTTTTTCACTTATACCAGTGGTTCGGAAAAATCCTCTGTCCTGGGAAGAACCACCAGGAAACCCAGCGCGAATTTTTTGTTTTCCCGTAAAGACATTTTCAGTAGCAGTCCGGAGTCAGGAATTTGGCGGTAGTTTACCCCCGTACACCATTATACCTGCTTCATGTGCTTTCTTAGAAAGCACGTAAAGCAGGTGGTCCTGCACTAATCTTTCTCTGGTCATGTCGGATAACCGTCCCGTTGGGCTTTAGGAATGAGGGAATAGAGAGTGCACTTGTGCTTGCACTTACACCTGGGCAATATAACCTTGCGCAGATGGCTAGTCTCCGTTGAGACTGTCCGCCGTGACCTAAAGTACGTCTGGAGGAAAATTAATGATAGAACGTCGTAACACTAGTTATAATACATCTATTGCGTTAACCGATGGCATGCATTTTTTGATGTGTCTCCGTTGATGCTAGACGCGGTGACCGAAACTCTGTACGGAGTACATTATTACTAATACTTTTTCGATAAAATCTGAGACTTAAAGTCTCAGATTGTCGTTTCGTTTAATTTCGATTTTATCGAAAAAGTGTTGTGTTAGAAACCAGAGAATGATTACAGGACTTCTTGTACTAAGAACTATTTATTTGTTTGATAAAACACTCAGAAGTCGTGGACTGTACAGTCTGGATGGCACTGAGCCTTGAAATCGATGTTTTATGTATGCCAGGAATCAGTTGCATCATCCTTTCTAAGTGTCAAATGTGGTAACACAGAAAACTTTTGATAACTCTGCTGATTAATCAAGTGTTCGGGGTTAAGGTAAAAAATTTGAACCCCGTCAACTCGCATATAGCAGCTGGGCAGATACTTGCCTTTAACAGTTTGTCAGGTCAGCCGTAGGACGTATTTTTTTATTGAATAAGAGTGACAAACGAACATATAGTCCATCTGATCGTAAGTGAATGCTGAGGCTCATAGACATCTATCGAGAATAGACATCTATAGATGTCTATCATCGATTAAGAATCAAAATGCAGATGCGTTGTCGCCCCTGAAGACAAAGAATCTTTGGTTATTCACACTCACCATATGAAACAGTAGCATTGAACTGCTGTTCAACGCTGATACTCGTATTTTGTGAGAACGTGGTCCTTTCCTGATCGAGCCGATCCATTCGTGCTATTACCATAATATACCACGTAAAAAAAATTACAACCTTAAACCGAAAGTATATATATATATATATATATATATATATATATATATATATATATATATATATATATTACTTTGGCCTCTCAGTATATTTACGAAAATTTAATGTATTTTCATAAAAACAAAGATAGTTTTAGTAAAAAAGTGATAAACTCTGTAAACACTAAGAACAAACACGAGCTAGTGATGCCGGTCTCACGACTCCACAGAGACAGTAATTTATTCTTGGGGCAATGTATACACTATTACAACAAAGTCCCAGAAAATATACAAGGTATATCTATTACCAAGTTTAAATAATTAATATAACAAAAGCTGTATAAAAAGGGTTATTGTAATATAAATGCATGCATGGTTGATAATAACCCCTGGGAATGAGGTGGTAGCTTCCAAGATGTTTCTAAGATAAATTTTTTAAATAGTTTGTTTTCATTTATATTGTAAAATTTATTTTAAGAAAAAGTCGCGCTGGGTTTCTTGCTGGTTCTTCCCAGGACCGAGGATTTTTTTCGAACCAGTGGTAAAGTAAAAAATGAATTTCAATAAGAATTACTTATAATCAATATTAAATAAAAAAATATTCTATTCTTTTCTATTCTATGAAGATTGTAATTTGTAACTCTATTTCTTTATGGTTACAGATGGTTGTGAGGAGTTGAGCGCGCACGCGATGCCGCGTGGCGCGCGTAGCTGGCGACATGAACCGGTCAGCGCTGGAATGCGAGACGGACGCGGGCGTACCCGACTCAGACAAGCTGTTCCGGTTTGTGGTGCACGGGGTATTACTCAACGCCATCGGAGCAGCTGGCTTGCTCGGCAACGGCCTCTCCGTTCTAGTGCTCTCACGCCCGCAAATGCGCTCGTCCATCAACTGCCTGCTGATTGGCCTCGCCGCCTGCGACACAGTGCTCATCCTCACCTCCGTTCTCCTGTTCGGAATCACAGCAATCTACCCGTACACAGGCGGCCTACGGTACTACTATTACAACGTCTGCCCGCTAATCACACCTTACGCCTACCCAATTGCAAACGTGGCGCAAACCATGTCGGTATACCTCACTTTGATTGTAACGGTCGAAAGATGGGTGGCTGTGTGCCACCCTTTCCGAGCCAAAGCCCTCTGCACGTCATCGCGCGCACGCTGGTATGTCTTCGGCACGGCAGCATTTGCGTTCGTTTACAACGCGCCGAAATTCTTCGAAGCGGAAGTGATCACCGTCAGCGATCCTATCACGGAGGAAGTTATATACTGCGTTCAGGCCGACCTCGACTTCCGAACCGATAAATACGTCGTCATTTATATACACTGGATGTATTTAGTGGTCATGTACATAGTCCCTTTCTCGGCCTTGGCGGCGTTGAACGCCTGTATCGTCCGGCAAGTGAGACGCGCGCAGGCGGAACGCGCCAGGCTCTCAAGAGTACAACGACGTGAACTTGGACTGGCTACGATGCTACTAGTTGTGGTTCTAGTATTCTTCCTCTGCAATATACTACCACTCGTCACTAACGCTTTCGAGGTCTTCTTGGGCGATGAATTTGAAAACCTAGACCCACTGGTGAAGACAAGTAACTTACTGGTGACGATAAACAGCAGCGTGAACTTTGTGATTTACGTGATCTTCGGGGAGAAGTTCAAGCGGGTGTTCTTAAAGTTGTTCTGTGCGGGTCGTATTCGAGCGCGAGGCACTCGAGACTCTCCTGAGCACACACGAGATGACTCCCTAGCGTCTTGTGGGGAACGTATGTCGTTGCGTCTGGCACGGAATGGTACACTGGCACGTTCTGAACGCCTGAGTCGTATGCGGCCGCGACGGGCATCTCCATCCCCCGCAGTATATTATCCTGCCCCACCACCGTCGTCTCAAATGACGGAAATGACAGACGCGGTAGGCTCTCCTGCGACAACCCCACCTTCGCCAGGTCGCTGGAATGGACACACGCGTCTGCCCTTCTGACGTCGGTTCAGTTGAGTGCCGCGCGCCCAGCGTCTTGCTTGTGGATGCAAAGTTCCCCCAGGAAGCGACGCCTGCTACACCCAGTTCAATACGACCGCGTTCGGTACCACGCGTTAATTGAAATAAAAAAGTGCAAAATGACGCGATGCTTGTCGGGACCAAAGTTAGTGTCCGAGTGTCGTAAAGTTAAAGACTAAGAAGAAGTGCGTGAATGTAATATATATGTTATGGACCAAGTGATTTATTAGAGCAATATTTATAATTCCCGGGCACACAAGTCAAATCGGGCAACGTAATTAATACTGATTTAAACTTCATTATTTACAACATTGTCTGGTCATAACCTAACCTAACCTATCCTTTTATTACTCTGCCCAATAAGTAACGGACTTTATTTGTAAGGCCCGGTCAATTTATTTATTTCAATAGTTTTATCATATTGCCTGCTGATAATGGGCATTTTTTCAAACTGTCTGCAAATTGTTATTAATGCCCTATTAGTCCATAACATATCGATTATAGAAATCTAGTCACACCTCGATTAATGTTGATAGTTATATTATAAAAAAGGACATTACAATCACTACAATCGTGTTTATAAGACTATTTGTTCTAGAATTGTTAAATGTGTAAAAATATTTGTATATAATAGAATAAAAGAGAAGATGAGACGATTATTAAATTATTTAATAGTATAAAGTCGTCGTCAGTCGACCATATTATAGTTAAATGTTATATTTGTAAAGTTGATCCGCTACATGTTCGACATGATTCTTGATTATTAAAAATATATATAATATATCTGTTAGTCTTATTTGTAACTTAACAATCTGCAAAAAGTCAACCTGATTTTAGCTACTGCCAATGAGCATCTACAACAATTTTTCTGGTACCAGGACGGCGCCATTTTGGAATGAGGCGAAATATTTTTTTTAAAAAGTTACCCCCATCCTAGGATTTTCTCCTGTATCGTGGAGGCAGTTTACAAACACAAATTGCACAAGGACAAACATTCAGACCCGGAACAATTATTTGTAGGCCATACAAATACTTGTTCCGTGCGGGATTCGAACCCGCAACCCCCAGCGCAGCAACTCATTGCTAAGCCACTGCGCCACGGAGCCGTAATTTGACGGATTTTATGAAGGGAAAGTTAAATTATCAGTAAAATATAAAGTTTAATGTTTATTTCTGAAATATTAGTTATATTTAATATTAATGAGATTAAAATGAATAAACCAAACTACGAATATTACTAAAGGTAGAAGAATTAAAAAAAGTTAAAAATGTGAAAAAAATTAAAGGGAAACCACTGAGGCATTTATTATCATAGGCATATTTTTATGGAATGAAGGTGACAAATGAGTACACGGTCCACCTGATGGTAAATGGATACTGTAGCCTTGTAGGAATCAAAATGCAGATGCATTATCACCCTCGCGATAGGTGTCCCGCTTTTTCGCAGTGAAATAAGAAGAAACCACATGGCTGGCCGGAGGTAAAGCGCCAGCCCGACAACGCAACTCCTAGTAGGCTTTGCGAGCGCACTTCGGATTTGTGTGGGTGGGCTGTGGAGAGAAGATTGTCCTCTCCCCTACCGCTGCAGCCGAGGTGAAGTCACGGAGAAAGTTACTGGGGTCAGGAAGGATAATTCTTCTGAGTGCTCGTTTTTCCTGGACCCATGGCCTTCGCGCATCGTTGGAGGCCATAGAGGCAGGCGCGAGTTAAGGCTGAGCACCCCTGCCAAATCTCATTCGTACATCATCAGCAATCCCATCTGGGTCAAGGGTATGCAGTAAATAAGCTTAGTAAATAGTTTTGTTGCATATAACTTAAGTATAAATAGACAATTGTAGTCATTTAATATGGAATATTGTAGTAATAAACTTCTTACTCTAACTATGTCAAAATAAATAAATATATTTTTTATTGAAGTCTGGTTCATTATCTTAATGCGCCATGTGTTCTGGTGCGCTCTTACCTGAGGAGATGGGGGAAGAGTAGTCCTCTTCCGAGGAAGAGCCGTCATGGGGCGGCCAGCGCTGGTGGTTCCGCGGATGTGTGCGAAAGTGTTATGTGCGATTCCGACATTACCCGTCCTTGTCTCCGATAGGCGGGTATGCGTAGGCATTTCCCCATTTAAAAAATGCGTTGTCACCACTGATGACTAAGATGGAATGCCCCGTTTACAGTGAAAATGGTCTCCAGTTCTGTACACTTACCATAAGAAACACAGCAGCACTAAGTTGCTGTTTTACGATGGTATTCAGTTGAAACGTAGTCCTACCCCGGTCGAGCCGATACATTCGTGTTACAACCATAATATAGTTTCAGCATAGTTCATCCACGTAGTAAATGAACGTACGTCGTAAGTAACCGACTTCAAAACTTTGCCCAAAATTTTTGTAAAGTGTTTACTAAAATTTAAAAATAAAAAGTTAAAAATAATATTTTTGACTACTAAGAAAAGAAGAAATGTATAAGGAAAATAGACACAATCACTGTTGTTTAAATATTTATATTACTTAATCAGTAATTTTTGCAGCATCAGAGTCGTTTCCGAGGAAGTATTAAGATTTTATTTTATGAGGTAATTTATATATAGTATTCCCATCTGATTGGGCTATATACATATATGAAATAAAATGACATATTTACATGAATAAATATTAGAGTAAAGTTAATAATAAAAAATAAATAGATCTTTTATCAGACTGTTACGGCCCACAGCTGCCCCTGTTCGGGCCCAAGTGGCCTTATGGAAAAATGACCTATTATACTACACAATAGGGAGTAGGTGAGGTAAATAAATAGTACGTACCTGGATCCTAATGTAAGACCGCCCCAAGGCTCGGTCAGGCTGTAGGTAGAGTAGATGCATGTAAATTAGTGTTTAGTGGTGTTTATGTGTGGGTGACCTGGCCCAGCTGAGCTGACCTGGCAGTGGCCGGTTTCCATGCTGCTCCACAATGCTGCATCACTCCAGCAGGCGTCCACAATGGACAATTTCTTTCTTCATTTCACTATTTCAGTCTATCCACTTTATTGTTGTCCTATCTATAGCGGATAGATGGTGTAAATTAAATGCCCAGATACTTAATAAATTAATATAATTCAAAAAAGGATGTGAATTGCACAATGATCGTAGGTCAAGTGATATGAGTAGACAGATTTGTATAAAGAATCTTCAAGCGCCTGATGCGGGTGACGGCAATGTTTCCGCGATGGTGTTTTGGCGTAATATTTGCGCAGGCGTTAAGTCTGAACAATTATACATTTAACTAACTTCAACTCGACTAATTCAACGTTCATCGTAGAATCGAACACGTGATACCCAACACAAGTAACGAACAGTAGTTCAAAGTTCCCCATTCAATGTCCAGGAATCAATTATCACCAAATTACAAATAAAGAACTAACGCGATCTCTTCATGAGTCACACGGTTCAGCGTTACAAACACAACTAAGCTCCTTCGTTCGATATTAAAGAATACGCCGCACAAAGAATTCAAAACCAACCTAGCTGACACGTAAACTAGCTACTGAGTCAACACACAAAAGGCTCTTAACGCGACGGTATAATTAAACAATGATTTCCAAAACAATCAACCGGACGACGCCCTCGAAAAGGAATTTGCGGTTCAAATTCCAGACCGTAGTATCTACTCGGCCCACGTGCGAAATTCCACGTCACACGAGCAAGTAGTATTGCTGTTTATGCCCAAAATGGTCATTATGAGGCCACCCAATAACGTTCGACTTCGTGAATCGCCCGATACCACCATTTGCTACGGGCCGCGGGGTCGAGTCGGCAGTAGCTCGCTGGCCGCGATGCGGTGAATCCGCGTATCTCGGTTATCGCGGCAGAAGTTCACGCGACCGGTGTAGGGTCCAGATGGTTAGATTTAGTGCGTGTCACTACGTAACCGCCTCGGATTAGGTTGTCTAGGGTTTAAGTTCTTGACAAGAGGCTTGTATTGTGTTCGACTGATTAAAGTAACTTGTTTGAAAGTAATTGTGCAAATTATATAGTGATTGCGTTTGAAGTGAATTTTGCAATATTTAACTTGCTCGGGTGATGCGGAATTTCGCACGCGGGCGCCGAGTAGATATACGGTCTAGGATTCGAAGCATTCCTTGTCGAGAGCGTCTCCCGGTTGATTGTCTGGAAATCATTGTAATTGTGCCGTCGCGTTAAGTGACCTTTTTTGTGTATTGGCTGGTTTGTTAGTTTTACGTGTCAACGAGGCGTATTTTGAATTCTTATCGCGGCGTAGTGTTTGATGTCGAACGAAGGAACTTAGTTGTGTTTAACGCTGCGTGTAACTCATGAAGAGATAGCGTTAGTTCCCTATTTATAATTTGGCGAAAAGTGAATCCGGGACATAGAGTGTTAAACTTTAAACTACTGTCTGTTACTGTGTCGGGTATCACGTGTTCGATGCTACGATGAATGTTGAATTAGGCGAGTTTAAGTTAGTTAAACGTACAATGAAGTTAATAGACTGAAATAGTGACAGTGAAGAAAGAAATGGTCCAGCGGTGGAGCCTGCTGGAGCGGTGCAGCATTGTGGGGCAGCCTGGAACTCAGCCGCTGCTGGTCACCTAAGCTGGTTCAGGTCTCAGACACTTACACATCACTAAAAACTACTTGCCATTCACCTTACACCCACTTACGGTCTGACCGAGCCTTGGGGCGATCTTAGAGTCGGAAAAAGGTACGTACTATATTTTCCTAGTATTCTCCCATATAGTTTGGTGTGATAGGACATCTCTCCATGTGGCCTTTTGGGGCCCGACCTGCGGCTGCTCGTTGAATCTTCCGCTCATGGGCCTCGGGATATTCGACCTTTGCAGGGGCAGCTGTAGGCCGTAACAATTGCAAAATTCACTTCAACACGCAATCACTATATAATGGGCGCAATTACTTTCAAACGAAATTACTTTCATCAGTCAAATACAATACAAGCCTCTTGTCATGAACTTAAAACCTAGACAAA